GAAAATACTATGTGAAGCTCTCAGAACACTTTTAGCCACATGGACTGAACCCTGCACATAGTATTTCCAACGGCATCAGTCCCTTGATTTGTAAATCAGCTGTGCATACTGCAATACAACTTTGATTCAAAACTTTGAGTGATAGATTATTATTCTGTCTGTGGGCCTGACTTGGGCTTGTATTTTCATTATGAAAGGCATGTAACAGATACTTTGTAAGAGAGAGCCTCTATTTCAAAGAGTTTTGTTCTCTGTTTAGGCAAGACTGACAGTAAATGGAAGGGGGACTAGAGGTACAAAGAGAAGTGATGTGCCCATGACCACACAGCTGTTCTGTGGCAGAACAAGGAACATTTCTTCACACTCTGTCTGCTGTTCAGAAGTCCTGCTGTTTAAATTTATATATATCTCACTCCTGCTTGCACTTGAATTTTGAAATTAAAAACTGGTCTTAGAGAAACACTGAAAGATGCATCTTTTCTACAGTTCATATCAGTTCCTATTTCTGACTTACTCTGCCTGTGTTATAAGAATTCACAATATTTTTTAACCATAATGATAGATGTGCACACATGTGTTTGTTTCACTTTTCTTGTTTTCAAAAATGACTGAACCATTTTGCTCAAACCAGAGCGTAAGAAGACAACCAGGTTCCTGAAGCAGCCACCACACACAGGGGCACTGATGACTTCTAGTTGCCACTGCTGCCATGATGACTATCACGATCAAGTGGCTGCAGCAGCAGCTAGTTTTTTCTTCCCCCTGTCCCCAAAGTTGGCGCTCCAGCCTGCTGCCCTACTCCCCTGTCCTAGTTATGCCACTGGCTCAAACCTTCTATATTTTTCAGCCTTAGAAAGAGACCAGGCATGGAAAACATCACAATATATGTTGAAGTGGTAGAAGTTTCTTAAAATTATCAGCAACTGAAAGCAAGGGCTTAGAATGAAAATGCTGGGGCATCATTAGCTATATGGTGTGGGTGTACTGAAAGAAATGAAGTTGGTTACATGCAAAGCACCTGTTGACTTTCAATGGAACTAAATTGCATGGCACTTGTGAAAATTCCACCCAGATCTGCTTATTGCCCTCCAGTTACAAATATGACATGCAACTAGTCATGAAGACCAGTTACAGGGATTGGCATTCAAAAGTCACCCTCAGATGGGACTAGATTTTCAAGACCTTAACGCCCAGCTTGGGAAACTTTCCTGTAAGAATCCTAGTGGGAACTGCTGGGTGCCATGCCTTTTTAAACATCATAATTAGGTTGGTACATGAGAGCTAAGCTCTCTGGAAAATCTGCACTCTGCTGTTTTGGAGATCCAGCTGTAAGCTGACTGCTATGGATGTATGAAAGTAGAGTTCTAAGCTCAGGTCAGTTGTTCATAATCAATGGGACCATTCATGTGTTCAAAGCTAAGGATGTATGTATAGGGTTTCCTGGATGAGGCCTTGTGTTCTCTCAGCTTTAGCACTATCCAAAGTGGAAGTACTTTACAACAGTCTGAGCTGCTTTAGACAGGCCTGAAAGGGACAATAGCAAATGCCGCCACGTGCGCAAAGCCTTGGAACCCTTGTCTCCAAAACCACTGACTTGATTTTGTAGAGTATGTGTTTGTGTAACTGGTCTTTGTCGTATGTCTTTCAGGTCACTTTCTGCAAACACGCATGAGCTGATCAGGTTACAATGGAAGTTATAGACAGGAGTGGCAGGTATCACTTGGCTCACTGCCTCTGCTTCATAGTTCAGCTTTTTGTACCGTCAAGAGTATGCAAGACTCTGCCCAATATCCAAGCAAGGCATTCATGTTAGGACGAAGGTGGTAAAGCAACTTGTGTGCACACATGCATCTATTTAAGATGACTTCAAGCACAGGAGCTGTTATGCTTGGACATACAAAGTGATGTAGGTCCTGACATACTCTAGGCAGCTCCCTGAGAGACGATGTTTCGGCGAGGGTTGACTGCATGGCTTCCTCGGTTGGCTGGCCTGCTTGTTGCTGTCTTCTGTGCTGTATCCCTTGTCTACATGTTGGCCTGTACACCAAAGGGAGATGATGAACAGCTGGCATTCCCTTGGGCCAACAGCCCCACAGGCAAGGAGGGTTACCAGGCTATGCTGCAGGAGCGAGAAGAGCAGCACCGCAATTATATCAACAGCCTGAAGAAGCAAATTGCACAGCTGAAAGATGAGCTCCAGGAGCGGAGCGAGCAGCTGAAGAATGTGCAGGACCACTACACTGACTCACTGGGTGTGGGGCTGGATCGCAGCAACCCTGAGAAAACCCAGACTGATCTGCTGGCATTCCTGCATTCCCAGATTGACAAAGCAGAGGTGCATGCAGGCGTGAAGCTGTCCACAGAGTATGCAGCTGTGCCCTTTGAGAGCTTTACTCTGCAGAAGGTGTACCAGCTGGAGACAGGACTGACACGCCACCCTGAGGAGAAGCCTGTGAGAAAGGACAAGCGAGATGAGCTTGTGGAGGCCATTGACTTGGCACTGGAGACTTTAAATAGCCCAGAGGGTGACACCAATACAAAACATCGTCTGTATGCAGCTTCTGACTTCATTGAAGGTTTGTATCTGGAGGACCAAGAGTCTTGGTGAATGAGTGAGTTTGGGGTTGACGAAAGGTTCTGATGTTACTGTCATGGGGAGAGGGATGCTGTCACCACTGAACCTATACACCTCAGGAAGCATCAGTCATAGTTTCCCAGGACTGTCCCTGTGACTCAAAGGAGCTTCTTGCAGGGATCATGGATAATTTAAAGGACAGTTCTTTGAAAAATGATGTGGTAAAATCAGAACCTTTTTATCTCACAGATCTGTGGTTTGTGTGTATTTACAGGTTTTTACTCTAGTGAAGAATTTCAGAGCCAACAGAGCTTTGGAGAAAGGGTGCTGGTTTGCACACTGATAACTACATCTCAAATGCAGGTTCTGCTTTGTTCTCCATTAGCCCCCTGCAGTCCCTTTGTCTATTCTCAGTTACACCTGTGTAACTTCCGTGATGATGACAATAAAGTTGCAAGATACACCAGAGGCAGACTCTAATGACTGCAGTTGCTCACCTAAAATTTGTTTGAATTTGAATACAGTATGGAATTGCACAGGTGTAAATCAGAAAAGGTCAAATGTTCCCCATAGAACATTCCTTATTAGTGAGGATGCACAGGGTTAACCTCTAGACCAGTGATTCTCAATCCGGAAAAGTTTTTACAGGTGATGCACAGTATTAGCAAATACATATGTGATAGACAAGGTAAACCCAGAAATTCCAGATAGAAATTCATAATGTCCAAAACAGTCTGACCTGTTGTGGTCTTTCTGAGTTTTTTTGCAAGAGATCAGTATCTTTATACCCATTTGCCAGAAGGGGCACAGGGAAGCAAAGTGACTTGCCTGCAGTTACCCAACAAGCCAGTGGCAGAGCTGGAAATAAAACCCAGCTCTCCTAGGTTGTCCTGTTTAGTCCTTTATTCATTGGGACACGTTGCCTTTAGATCACATTTCATAACAGAATTACTTATTAAGGTAATAAGTACCCATTCTGGACTTCCTGGTTGCCATTGCCAACAGGAGTGCCTGTGTGTGCCAGATCTGGAGGCAATGGCTTTGTGATGAAGACACCTGATAGTGTAGCTATTGTGGAATGCCCAAGGTATTCTGCTGAGGAGCTGCTGAGAGACAGATAGATATGATCTCTTCCCTGAAGAGTTTCCATCCACACAGGGTGAGTGACCTGTTGGGACTGGGGAGAGGACTGTGATCAATTTGAAAGAACATGTATGTATGCTATTGATTTTTGTTTGGGATGTTCATGGGAGCTTCAGGGTGTTTCTTGAGAGCTGGGCTCCTAAGTCACTTAGGTTCTTCTGAAAATTACAGCCCTCCTATAATGTTAACATTAAGAAAAGGAATAAGCCCTGCTCTGCTTCCCTTAGCTACTTCTCAAGCTGTTCTACTTCTGGCATCAGAGGAGAGTAAGCAGCCTTATGAATCTGCTTAGGGATGGTATTCATGCCTATGGGATGGTGTGTAGGAATGAGGGGAGAAGCAGCCAAGAGGTGTAAATTTAGCCCAGCATTTGTTGTAGAGCAGATGGGATGAGTTGAATACGAACAAAATCAGAGAAGTAAGATGGGGTAGAGCTGTATACTAGGGCTGTCTGAAATTTCACCACCAGTTTTGTTTCGATGCTGTTTCACCCTGTTTTGAAACAGCCTCGAAACAAAATGAGGCCAGTCAAAATGTTTTGCCGTTTCAAGGTTTTGCCCATGGGCTATAATGGGGAAACTCAAAACATCCTATAATTTTGTCATTTCTGGTCAGATTTAGATAAAACTTGCAGAAATGGTAGCCCCTTCTGAGGGCATAAAGCGTGTCAAGTTTCAGGAAGATAGGTGCAGGGGGTTCAGAGAAACTTCACCCCACAATCTTGAGAGCCAAACTTGTGTTATGTATATGTGTTAAGCCACAGCAGAGTCAAAACTACAGAAATGCTAGCCTCTTTGGAGGCCACAAAGCCTGCCACATTTCTAGGAGGTAGGTGCAGGGGGTTTGGAGAAACTGCATCCCAAAATCCTGAAAGCAAAAATCATGTCACGTGTACGTGTTAAGCCACAGTGGGGTCAAAACTGCAGGCATGCTAGCCCCTGCTGAAGCCACAAAGCCTGCCAAGTTTCAAGGAGATAAATGCAGTGGTTTGGGGGAAACTGTACCTCAAGCTGTGGACAAGAAAACTCATGATATGGGTGACACTGTGTGTGTTAAGGCGCAGCAGGGTGAAAGCTGCAGGGATCGTAGCCCCTGCTGCGGCCGCAAGGCCTGCCAGCTGTCAAGGAGATAGGTGCAGGGCTTCTGGGTTCTGAGGCCCTGCATCTCTAGCTGCTGACAGGAAAAACTCATGAAATGTGTGCTTGTGCAACTGACTGTCTCTGTGTTGGGGCAGTTGATTGTCTGTATTGATTATTTCTGCTCCTTAGTCCTGGTTTTGTAGGTGTTAATCCATGCTCGTTAAGTTATTAGCTAGGTTCTGTGTATTGAGCTGGTCCCTGAGTGAATCATGATTAATTGGTAACTGCTAACACAGTAGCTTAGCAGCCAGGCCTGCAGTAGTATTCCCTACCCCCCCTCCAGTGCCCCAAGATAGACTGCACCAATCTTCTTGAAATTTAGCAGACTGTGGCCTCAGCAGGGACTAGCAAGCCTGCAGCTTTGACCCCCCTGTGTCTTAACACATACACGTGACACAAGTTTTGCTTTCAGGATTTTGGGGTGCAGAGTCTCTGAACCCCTTGCACCTATCTCCTTGAAACATGGGAAGATTTGTGGTCTCAGTAGGGGATAGCATCCCTGCAGTTTTGACCCCCTTGTCACTTAACACTTACACGTGACATGAGTTTTGCTCTCAAGATTGTGGAGTGAATTTTCTATGAATCCCCTGCATCTATCTTCTTGGAACTTAGCATGCATTATGCCCTCAGAAGGGGCTTCAATTCCTGCAAGTGTCATCCAAATCTGGCCAGAAATGACAAAGTTATAGTGTGTTTCAACCTTCCCCATTATATCCTATGGGCGAAACATTGAAACAGGGTCGAAACGGTAAAACGTTTTGACGGAACGAAACGGAACAGCCATTTCAGCTTGAAACAAAACACTGTTCTGTCAAAATGTTGAAATGCTGGTCGAAACAAAACACTTCTGTTTTGCACAGCCTCACACTCATGATGCTAAATACCAACCTCTACTGTGTCAAGTCCATTCCCCAGACACTAGAGGGCTGTTCTATCACTTCAGCCATTTAAAATTGGACAGCAGCTAGCTGCTGAAACACAGTTTCTGGGACATCATTATGGGATCCTTCCTAGCATGACCTAACTGGGTCATCAGTAGGCCTAGAAGAGGCTGTGGAGGCCTATTTTGACAGAATGTAGAGATCAGGCCATTTCTTTCTTTAGTGCATTTTAGTTAGTAAAGCACATTCAACTCCAGGTTGCATTTTGCTTTTCAACAAGACATCTATAAGCTATACGTCAGACTAATGTGTCTGCCTATATGAAGAGCTATGAGCACTCAGTGTTCATGGTGGGTGTGGGCCCCATGTAATACCATTGAATAGGGAGGCTGGAGATGTGTCTCCCACCCTCTTCAAATTCTTAAGAGGCTTGCCCATAGCAGCTGTGAAGACTCAGGTGTCCCTGGATGTTTGCTTGGGTTTGTTGTCTGTTTCCTTTATGTTTGTCTTCTGCTGAAAGCTTCTTATCACCTGGAGTAACTCTGCCTGATTTCAACATCTGTTAATCTTTATTGCAGCCCTTTCCATATCCCAGTGTGGTGTTTTATGTCTCTCTGCATTGCAGATACAGCAATGTGCATCTGCTATAACAAAAACAAAAGCAGCTCTGGATTTCATTGCAGGCAGCATTGTAGGCTAGACATGGGAGGTGAGAGTGCTGCTCTGCCTGGTCTTGTTTATGCTTTGGTGAGAGCACTGTGTTCAGTTTTGGGCACTGCATCTTGAGGATATAGAGAAAACTGAAGAGAATGCAGAGGCAAGAAATTAAGATAATCAAGAGGTTGGAATGGAAGACATATGAGGAGTGATTGAAGGATCTAAGTATACTTCACTTGGAGAAAAGGAGATTGGAGGGTGGGGGGAGCATGCAATAGCAGTTTTCATATATTGAAAGGCTGCCATAGAGAAGGGTGAAAAACTCCCTCTGGGAGTGGGAGTAAGTGAGCACTGGCACCTTGTTCAACTGAGGTGCAGCCTGTGAGGCCCCCATTAAGTCCACATCTGTCTCCTGGCTTCCTTATCTAACACACTTCCCATGACCTGTTGTTCTTTCAGTGCTCAAGTTCCTAAGAGACGGCAGTGTTCTTGGGGCTGAAGTACATCCCACAGCTGAGGATCTGTGGGGCCTCTTAGGAAATGTGGCTTCCTAACTCCATTTTAAAGACATCCCTGCACTTCACCATACCTTTGATCTGGTATTGGGTCTTCTTCTGCTGGACTCTCACTAGCCCTGGCCTCTCTCAGGCATACTCCATGTTGGCTGGGTTTCTCCTAGCTCTGGCTTTTCCCCAGGCCGACTCACAATCACTGTGCCCTAGGCTCAGCTCCTTTCCCTTCCACTACATGGGACTTCCTGCCCTTTCCCTTCTCATATCCTCACAGGACAGGTTATCTCAGTCTAACTGGTCCCACTTAATGGGCCCTTCCCTCTTTTCCCTTCTTTCTTTGTAAAAGGAACAAGGGAGCCCAGTTACAGGTAAGACATGTGGCAACAGGTTTAAATTGCAGCAAAGCAGAGTTAGATTACATTTCAGGAAAAAAATAAACTTCTTAACTGTTAGAACTGTAGGGTAGTGGAACAAGCTGCCCAGGGAAGTTGTGGAATTGCCTTCGCTGGAAGTTTTCAGGACGAGGCTGGAGGGGCATCTGCCTGGATTGGTTTAGGAACAGTGAATCCCCCACCTATGCAGGGGTTGGGCTAGATAACCCTGACTAGAACTCACCTCCTCGCAAGACAGAGCAGTGTTTGTATTCCTGTCATCTTCTTTTTAGGAACA